AATGATATAAGTACAGCTATAAAACGCTGCTTAAGAAGGGCGGGTTTAGAGAATTCGGTGAGCGTAGTCGAAATACCACCGAGTAATCTTAAGCGCCAGCTAGTTCGTAACCGCCTATATGACCGTCTATGTGCAACTCAAAATTGCATAATTTGCCCCAGTGGTAGAGACGGTGATTGCATGAGCTCGGGTATAGTTTATCTGATTTCCTGTAAGACGTGTGGCGACGAATACATTGGCGAAACGGGTAGACCCCTCTGTGTCCGCATGAAAGAACACCTAGCCGGCAAAAATAGACCAAATACCCCGCTAGGCACGCATAGGACCCAGAGACATAACAGGGAGGACTTCGAAGTATGTGTCACGATCCTCGCACGCGAATCAAGAACACAGGCGCGAAAAACTCTCGAGGCATTCTGGATTAATTCCAGAAATCCGAAAATGAACCGCAGGGAGGAATGCCTCATTATCACGCGTGATATAGGGCAGTATATAAAACTGCTTTCCTGATGTCAGGGGCACATTATACTTCCACGTGATTTCTGTGCGGTTGGTCTCTACGTGACATACTTAGTGGAAACCTCATAGGAAGCGGTGAGTGCGCAAAGCTGTGTTCAAAGTGATTGAAATCTTGGTTTAGAGTTTCTTTGTTTGGTTATGGAGGCGTCTGGCCGAGTGGATTGCTATCAACTTGACCTTTCCAGGCTCTGAGGAAGGCGAAATCCGCCGAAACGTCAGCTCAATCGTGAACAAAGAATAGTAACACCTCGCGTTTGCTCAACAAAAATACGAAGAAAATCACTTGATCAATGCCGAGGTTAATAGAAAGTCGGTCGTGGCAGTTACTAGTAGATTGTATATCAGCATACCCTTCGAGGCTCTGGAAAAGGCGATACTGCTGAATCGTCAGCTACTGTTGTATTGTATTGTGTTTCTCTATGGAAGTGAATGTATGCTGTTTAAAAACCTCGCGATTGCTGAACAAGAAAACGACTCATTCATATTCCAATGCCGAGGTTAATACAAAGTCGATCCTGGGAACTGTGCTCATTGTTAAAATTCCATAAATTGTCTTTTTAAGTGTCACACTTGTTCTCCTATGTAAATAATTCTGAATATACGTAGAGTCCAAATGACGAGCGGCCGAAGTTGAATTCCATTGAATGGATAAAGGGAATATATGGAAAAGTCTGAATTGGGCCTACTACTCGGCAGGCTGTAGTAGAGCGGTGATGGCAAAGTGACTTGTGTGGACACTATCAAGATCTAATTAACAGCGCACTAAGTGCGTATAATTCGCATTAGGAGCGGAATTGGCACCACATTTTTAGTGATACCTTTCTTTAAACTATTTCTGACGGAAAGCAACAAAAGAAAGTTCCTCAGACTTTGTCATCGCATAGCTTACTCCTGTATGACCTTCTGGATGGAAATATTGAACTTTTCCAGGTCGTAGCTGGGAAATGAACCTTGGCTTCATTTTCACCTCTGTAAAGCCCCTAACAGTGATCAAGCAATAAACCACTGAAATGTACTTCTCACATTTGGATGGGATCATCCAGCTAGCTTCTTCATGTCAGCAAACGTGACTTTTCCGTGTTAAGTCGAGTCGATGATAACTCGATCGGATACCGCTGATACTAGTCTTAGTGATAATATATGGTATTGTAACCCCCATTCATCCGTTTGCTTCCTTACCGAATTGTTCGCGGTGGGAGTACTAGTCCATCAGCCGCCATCTCGTTTTAAAAATAATCAGGTACGTGATTTCGTTTGTTAGCAGATGATTTCACAGTCTGTTCTTAATTGAAAACCACAACAGAGTGAAAAATATAGCAGCTGTAAAAGCAGATGTGTCGAAACCTTCTGAACAAAAGAGGAAGAAGGTTGTGAAGGATCGGCTGCCAATGTTGAACTATGAGATTCAAGGAGACGAGAAAAACTACAAATTAAAACAACAACTAAGAGAGAGTAGATACGGTAGCATATTTCTCAGCCACGACGACAAAAGTGAGATCTTCACTTCATTCATTGCAATTACAATTTACGTTTATTTCTGTGCATGTTGAAACGACCCGAAAGAACTCGAGCCAGAAATTGTAGCTCGCAGCGCCCCTTCTCCACTGACCTTCCACTATTTAGTGTGGACCTATTACCGAATAAATATTGTCAAAAAAACATCTCATCACACCGTCACTTTAACATTTGGTACCAACGATTCCAGGTCGTATGCACAGTGTTCCGAGGATATAACGCCGAATCCCGTCGCTGACGATGCAATCAGTTCGACAATGAAATTCAGTGCGAATTTTCCGACACAGCCACTACCAGAATTTCACCAGTCTAATCGATGTTGTAGCTTATCGAATTCAAATTTACTGCCACCAGGTAACTTTCTGGCAGAAACACTTCTAGCAACAGCCGAAAGGAGTTTGGATTCTTTAGACGAATACCAAAAACTTTGTTTTACTACTTTGGCACGGTACTAACTTGCTTGATACTACTTATTCGATCTACTACAATTTTACAAACAAGAAAATAGTAGAATGTACAAAAGGAGAACTTTCTAGCGTAGATTTTCGTGGTCATTTCTCATAATACCTTTCTATACAGAAATGTGGCGAAGCGTGTTTAGTTCTCGCGAGCTGTTGAAGGTTACCCAGTTACGCCAATTCAGAACGAAGTCTTTTGTACTGCTAGGACTTATTTAGTTTCAAAAAGCAAAAACACCTGCGAAAGACAAGAACTTAATCTCATTCCACGGCATCAACAGAATTACTAGTAGCGATCGCCCACTGACAGTCACAGGATTGGGCGGACCTTCAGGTCGGCTAGAGCAGCGCAAACACTGCTCATTTGAGACCTTCTTTCATTATACAAACCTACAATTCAGTTGGCAACATCAAAGCGAATTTCAGAAGTCTCACCATGCAGCTCATTCGACAAGACGAAGTTCATTCCAAAGCCACAACTCGAGGCGAAACGCAACGAGAGTGCCGACTCGTCCACGAGGACCACTCAGGAGCAGTTTTGCAGCAGTGGCTGGGAGCTCAAAGCACCATATTCCCATAATGCCACTAAAGAAACGAAAACCGGAAGCGCAACAAAGAGGAAGCCGAGACATTCCATGAGCTTGCCATGTCGTAAGATGTCAAAATCTGGAAGGATAATTAATACGTAATTGTGCAAAACACCACCTCAGATTTCTTCGATTTCTAGTTCCTGAAAATCTAAAGCCGCAAAATCCTGTTGAGCAACCGTCATCGAAAGCGAATTTAGTATGAAATAGAGAAGAAAACCCAGTAATCCTTTTAGTTTCAGCGTTTCTTTCCACTTTACTTATTTCATACTACTTCTTAACCTAACGTATTCGTGCACTTTTTCCCTCTTAGACATATTCCCCTTGGATAGAGTTTGATTTTGAGTTTAGTCATCGTAATTGGCAATTTGTGCTTAGTCACTATGTCACTTTAAACAAGAGAAGCACATTCATTGATCGAATAGGTAAATTCCGTGATCAACTGGATGATAAGCGATACACGATAGTGTCTCAGTTCTGTGAAGCCAGCAGTGCGCCTTCACTAGCGTCGGTCACAGTTTTCGCCCATTTCAATTTCTTTAATAGATCTGAATGCTTCAGAAAGAAGACAAACATGTTCATGTTTTTCCGTCGTTTTCTATTTTGTATTCCTATCAAAGAACGATCAATAAACATTCATTGTAGGAGTACACTGTAGCATAGCTTCTGGAAACAACCACACTTTTATATAAGCTTTTCTTAATTAAAAATGCTCAAAAATAGAATATGAAAACGAAATAAAATAAAATAAAAACAGAAGGAAAGAGTAGTTCAAAATGATCGACATCATCACGAAGCGAAAATTTGCTAAAATAAGCTTAGACCATGGACTATTATGTTTATGGAAGTTTCTGATAGACGACACATCTGTTCCCGCCCTTCTCCATCCTCAGCTGCAGAAAAGGTTCTTTATCAGAGAACTCTCTGAGTCATAACGCACTGAAATTTTCTGAATGTGTTAAAAATAGGAATTCCCGGAAGCCTATGGGAAGCTGGAGATATAACTTAGTTCAACTCACCTTCGTTCTCGAGCTACGGTGGAAGTTCCACCACTTTTCACCAACCCCTTTCAAATGCATTTGGCACACCATTTCCGCGAAATATTTCGGCTGATATGGAAACAAATCCAGAAACCGAATTTCTTTTGATCTCGGTATTCATCCACAAATCACTTTTTAATTATAAGCAAATACGAGGTTGTTATTGCATCATTTTTCAATGCACAGTGGCTGACATGTCGACGGCTTCGCCTTCTTCAGAGCCTTGAAAGGTCAAATAAGCATGCGATGATGTACTCAACCAAACTCTTTCATGGCCTCACCGGACAAAACTTAACACATTTATTCTCATTCGCATAATAAAGAGCTTTTTTAAATGAGGAACGTGGTTGGCCCAGGTCAATGAATCAGCCTGAGGTATGGGCGCTAGGTCAGGCGTGATCACAAGACATTCCTTGCTGTTCATTTTTTGATTTTTGAAAATTATCCAGAATGCTTCAAGAGTTTTACGTGCTGTCTTGGATTCCTGTGCGAACATAGTGACTCCTACTTCAAAATCTTCTCCATTATGTCTCTCTGCACTGTGCGTTCCTTGTCGGGTAGTTGATTTCACTTTGAATTTACCAACTTGGCAGTTTTTTGTAAGGACGCACAGCAGTCTATCCGTTTCGCCAATGTATTCGACCCAACACAGGTCACAAGAGATTAGATAAACAGTACCGAACAGTCATGCAATCGTCGTCTCCATCGGTAGAGCATGTTATGCAATTTTATGTTATTCATTAAACTAGGTCAGCCATTCGATGTAACTCTTAAACTCTTGAGAACAACATGGCGTTCTTCAGATATCTTCTGGGTGCAATTTTAGCGTTGAAATCTTCTGTGATGACCATAAAGATTGTATGATCCTGTCTGCAGAACTCCTGGAGGTCCACAGAGAACGCCCGGACATCGTTTTCGCCATAGACTGATGTTGGTTACCGAGGAAGACTTAAGGCCGGTATTGATTCACATCTCTTCAATCGTAAATGTCCAATTCAAGTTGTCAGTTGTTCGAATTCGAATGAATCAATGTTCATGGCCAACTCCGTGTTGTCGTGAACACCGACACTGCCCACTTCCCTATTGTTGCATGTTCCGAGGAACAATATTTTTGGTTCTTGTGTGGATTTGGTATCCGAATACGGTGCTATATGTTTTGTTCTCCATTCAGCGTTGACCTATCCAGTAAGGATGCATTCATAACGCATTCATGGACATTTACAATTTCGCACAGTCTTTGCCTGTAACTCTTCACAATCGACTTTCTTTCAACCTCAGCATTGCATTTCCGCGCTTCTATAAGATCTCGAACTATTACACTGTCTGCCCCTCACAGTTCTTCGCTGAGAACTAGCTACTAAGGCTTTATGACATTATTGCCTTTCTTTGGCTTTCAAAAAGCTCCAAAAAACTACACACTGGAAGTGCACTTCCCGCGCTCATAAATGTTTATGACAATGCTGTGCATCAACATAGCCTTTGACCAAATACAATACGAAAATAAGGTACTGTACGGTAACTTTTTATACTTTTCATTATTTCATAGATTCCAGGGGTTCAACAGAAAAGTGTAAAAAGACACTTTATCTTATGCGTCCTTTCCTCTTTAAGATCTTCTTCTATCGCTTGTCTGCACCAGCTCATCTATGTTCCGCTATCGATGCGTGTTCTTTTAAAAACTTTGGTGACAATGTCATTGTCACTTTCAAATCTTGTTCTAGATGCCTGTTCTTATACCTTAATAGCGTCGTCTCCTGACAAACAAGGACGGGAAAAGCCTTCGTTCATTTCAAGTGTCAGCCCACGTTGCCACTGTACCACATTCCGCTATACGTCTCTTCCAGCGAGCCTATGTGTTGCTGACAGTGCTTATGTTGACTTAATAGTTGTATTTCCGATTTTCACAAATATATGAAGAAAGGAGAAGTAACAAGTTAAATCGTATGCGTAGAAACATTTCGTTCAAATCATTGAGAACGGTATTCGGTTGATATCGGAAAAATCTGATTCACACAAGAGGAGATGGACAGCGACGATATTAACATCGACGTCAAAACGGTTCATGTTGGGATGTCGCAGCAGCGGAAGCGATGGCAGACCGCATTTGTATTGCATCGAAGGCCCTCTTAAAATAATGATGCTTTCATTTGGTATCAATGGAATATCAGGAATAACTGTTGCGCGTGGGTTCGTAGGCTCCGGGCTACTGCATACAAGTCGGCGATTGACCAGTCCTTTATGAAAGAAGTTATTGATTAGATCGCAATACATAGGTCGCGAGAGAACGAGTGAATCATGAAAAACCCCACCCTAAATTAACGAAATCTGCTCTGTTATTAATTGGAGTGAATGCACTTAGTGCTTCGAATATACCCAAGGCAGTTTTATCCTGAACAGAAGGATGCTGGTAGGTATTTGACCCTCTACTTATGTTATTTATTCCATTGTATGTTTTAAAAGCTGGATAACCAATATAAATCACATTGGAAGGAGATAAAAATCGTAGTTTATAAAGATCTTTAAAGATTCTCTGGACGTCCACGGCCTTCATCACTTTCAAAGTTAAGACTGTTATTCTAATGCGAAAGATTCAGCTGATATAGAAGCGAATGGTCCTTCTGAGTCTACGGACTCAGCTCATCACATTTTACCTGATCACCTCTAACGATGTCTAACGATGTCGAATGCATGGCGCATCCCTAAGTATTGATCAACGCCAACTTTGAAGTAGTGATTGAGAAGGTGAAGGAACACTATCACATTCCGTTCTTCTCCGAGTAGTAGAAAAGGTTAAAACTCTTGATTAGTTTGTGTAAGAGAACGCCTGCACTCTCTACAGAAAGCATGAAAGAGCGTGCGGGGCCTAATACACAGGCGAAATGGGTAGACTACCCTGCCAGGGTTCTTGATATGTACAACATGACTCGAGAAGCAGATTGGGAACGCTACAGCCTGGCTATCTAATGTGTAGGGTCCAAGAAAAGGAATCAAAAACCTCACGTCAGTAGCCAAAACGACCGTCTTCTCATCTGTGTTCGTTTCTAATGTGGATTCGACGTTGGGAGTGAGTAGATGAAAGGGATAAATCCAGCTTTGAAGAACACCAAGATTACAGAGTAAATGTACTTCCAAAAGTTTTGAAGCAGTTGTGAATGAAAACGAATGTTTGGCTCGACATAGCTGACATATCAGCATACGTTTCTGCTGTAGTCTGGCCAAAGTGCCCCAGGCATATAAGAGCAATCTTTGCCGAAGGCCAGGCCTAGCAACGCCATCGAACCGGGTAGGGGTATAAATACACCGTTATCGGTCTTCCTGCCAGTTAATTCGAAGACCTGCGTCGTTTACGCGCCAACATCAAAACGCGCTCATTGACTGTATTGTACAAACGAGCCACATTAGTGGAGTAATGCTTTAAAAATCGAGTAAACCGTTCTCCAATGGTAGGTTAACTGTGGTCAGAACTCTAGCGTTGACTTGTCTGGGAGGATAGCAGCACCGCATTTGCAGTGTGCATTGCCGCTCTGGATATAGAAGCATTGCAGTATCACTTACGCGCTTAGTGGATGGTGGATGGGCGAATATATTTCTAAGGGTTGTACGAATTTCTGGTTTTACGTGTTCGTTTATGGCCAGCGTGTGCTTCCTGGGTTTTGAACAGTGCGTCATGTCGCCCTTGATGTGCGCGATAGGAACACAAAGTTCAACGCTTTCATATGGATACTGCATGGCTTTCATCCAATACCGCTCTTACTCTAGCCATCATGCATGTTCGGTCACAGAACTTGTTGACTCTCTATCGCACTTCTCGAAGATGGAGATTCAGATGATATAGTTAGGGGAATCCGAAGGACTAAAAAAACATGGTCGTCGATTTCTCGACTCGGTGTCCACCTATTCGATCCCTGGAAAAGAATTCGGTATGATGGACCATATCAATAGGCCTGCCAACGGTTTACCGCGTCATCGTGGCTGGCAGGGAACTATTTTCGCAGCATGTACTGCAAGATGTACCAGCAAGATATTTTCGCAGCGTACGAACTCGTTAAAGTTACTTCACCT